AGCAGGATTGTGCTTTTCTGCTTGGGAAAATAAAGCCTGTTTTTTCCAGAGCAGTAACTAAGAGCCCATGGTGATAACTGCTGAGCCTGTGCTGACTTAGAGGAAGGGTGTAGAAGGGGCCTGTCCTCAGCAGAAGTCATCTCAGTGTCAGAGCCTCGATTATTGCACTGAGAAGGATGGACTTGTGTAGAATTGAACTGACTAAAAGGAGGAAAGCTTTGATACTAATACCCTGTTACTCCACAACCAGAGGGTAGAAGCCCTCTCTGGGCTGTTGCGGTGGCTGAAATGCAGCTTTTGGATGCTAGCAAACAGGAGAAACTAAGAAGTTCTGTTCACCAATATATTTCCAGGCCAAAGCAAGAGATGAGCTTGCTGCTGTTGGCGGGGCATCGTTGGTGTGTGTGTATGTGTGTGGCAGCGGGGTACGGGAAGCCTTTAATAAATGAAAAGAAAACCCCCCAAAGTTTTTCCATTTAAAGATGCCAGGTGCAAAGCTCATTGCTCTGCTTGCAGAGTAACACGCGCACCAGGCTGGTGCAGCAGGTGCTTCCTGCAGAGTCTGACGCGCTTGGCAAAGGTTTCCACATAACAAAGGGAGAGGCTAGGAAATCTAAGGCATCAGTCACCCTATAAGTCAACTTCTTGCCCTTTTTCAGCTAAAGCCTGGACCCCTGGAAGAGACTTATATAGCTACTATCCTGAGGGAAATTCTAAAGGGCTTGGACTATCTACACTCTGAGAGGAAGATCCACAGGGACATCAAAGGTAAGAATAGAGAGCTCAGCCCTTTTTCTTGTAAGGGATGTTCCAAACATGGCTTGAAGTATTTTACAGGAATAGTCTGAAGGGTTGCAGAGACTGCTTCTTAGTGCTGTTTTTCCTGTAATGCATTGGGTTGCTTGCTTCTGAATCTGAAACTATTCATTTTATTGCAACTCATGTTTTTGATGTTTTTAGTCTAGGGTATGGGGCAGCAGTAAGGGTCTCTAGCTTTTCTCTGGCAGTTGTAGTTTGACTAGGTAGAGGAACAGAGCAAAGGAGTGAGACGGCGCCCTCCAACATCTGCTGACTCTCCTTGGTCGTGGCTGGACATTTGCTTTAGTGTGCTGGACCTCAAGGCTGATTAGACACAACTTGCCTACAGCTTATCGTGACTGTGAGCTGTCCTCGTGCAGGGTTTATAGCCCTAGAAAATCAGGGCAGCTCGTGTCCTGCCCTCTGCCTCCCAAAGAACAGTCTCACCCCAAGCAAAACGCAGCAGAGGGAAGCAGGAGGACAGTGCTGTGAAGATGTGGCCAATGTTGGATGCTGACTGCCGTGACCCTCTGCGGGAGGTGATGTGAACAAGCAGAGTCAAGAGACTTCATGCAGGGAGATACGTAGAAAGGAGTCTGAGGATGTGTGCCTGCACAAAAAATTTATAGTGCTAGCTGTGCAGGACCGTTCACTGGCAGCACTCTGGAAACGCTGAATGTTTCCAGGTAGCGTGTCTCTCAGGTTGAAAAGTCTTGTAAAAATAAGTCTGAGCAATGCTGCTCGCTTAAGCAGAATTGGGAACCAGTACAAGGCCAGGACTTCTGAGCTCCTTAAAGGCTCTGCTTTTTAATCTGTACTGAATGCTGTTCTGAAAGAAATCAAGACCATCTGAGGTTATCTTGGGCTGAAATCCCCTCTCTTCTTGTGAAGTGACCAGGAATTCCCTTCACAGCTAGTCCTTGCTGCTACCCCACAAGTATTCCCCTTCTCCTGATGCAACCAACTGTATGACCTTGGTCTGTGTTACCCAGCAGAGGTCAGAGTGTGGGAATGAGTCTGAAGCTGGAAATCCAAGCTGAGGGTTTTCATGGGGCAAAAAGGAGATGTCACGGGGAGGTCCCCTCTCAGAGTTCAGTTCCACGTGGGTTGTAGATGGTTCAGAAACCAATGGGCTAACGCTCATTTCTGTGAACAGCTGCCAACGTACTGCTTTCGGAACAAGGGGATGTGAAACTGGCTGACTTTGGGGTGGCTGGACAGTTGACAGACACCCAGATCAAGAGAAACACCTTTGTTGGGACTCCGTTCTGGATGGCGCCAGAGGTCATCAAACAATCTGCTTATGACTTCAAGGTGAGCTGGGAGCAGGAGGAGGATACTCGATGCTACTATAAATTAAATAGTGCTAGGACGAATATAGAGGTTGGAGATGCTTGTTGCAAGAATGATGCTTTCCTAATTATGGTTCAGGGTCTTGTGGGGAAGTTTGTCCATTTGACATAAAACACTCTATCTGATTTTATGTAATAGGCTCTTCAGCGGCCAAAATGTCATGCTTTCATGTTGCAGAATTGCTCCTTGCCATCCTCTGCAGTCACTGTTCTTGCTCCTCTCTCAGGCAGATATCTGGTCCCTTGGAATTACAGCCATTGAACTAGCAAAGGGAGAGCCCCCGAATTCTGATTTGCATCCTATGAGGGTTCTCTTCCTGATCCCCAAAAATAACCCTCCGACACTTGAGGGACACCACAGCAAGCCCTTCAAGGAGTTTGTGGAAGCCTGCCTCAATAAGGATCCTAGATTTGTGAGTATTGCTGTCCACCTCTGAATCTGGGTAGCATATTGCAGAGGCCAAAGATTCCTTAGGAGAAAGACCTCTTGGTGCAAGGCTGCTAGAGAGAAAGCAGTACTGTGTTTGCAGAACAGAAAGGCAAGCCTGGCAAGAACTAAAGGCAGCGTACTTTCGTGTTTAGTACACAGACAGTGCCGTATGTAGCATGCTTTCCTTATTTGCTCCAGAGGCCGACAGCTAAAGAGTTGCTAAAGCACAAGTTCATCACACGCTACACCAAGAAAACCTCATTCCTAATGGAGCTGATTGACCGATTCAAGCGCTGGAAGTCAGAGGGCCACGGAGAGGATTCCAGTTCTGGTGATTCTGACATGTATGTACATATGCTGCATGGAGAGGTGCTGTGCTGCACTCTGCGTAGCTTGCTGCAAGCAGTTCAGGTCCTTTTCCCCAACTGGGTGGGAGATCTTCTGTCAGGACAGGGAGACCGGTGAGTGTCTGCTTGTGAGAGTAAAGGACTGCTGCCTGAAGAAATAGGCTGTTACCTCCTGTTCAGCGGGACCTGGAATTCTCTTCTAGTCCCCCCTGTGGAGCTTCTTTGAGCGTAAGGAATCAAAAATACTCGTAAGAAACATCTGGTCTGTGCCTCACTAGTAAAACAAGGCCCTGATTGCCTGTATTTTATGCACATTCAGTGAAATGCATTGCCTTCCATAGAGCTACAGGCTGTAGGACCTGTGGCAACAGTTGTGTATATGTGTTCACGTACATTCATGCGTAGAGAGCTACTGAGGTGGAGGATAACGAGACCATGAGTCTCCGGTGAGGAAAGAGCACTTCTTTTGCTGTTTGCTGCCAGGCTAGTATCACAGAGCTGTGCTTCATTTATAGTGGCAGAGACTCAAGCAACAAATGACTCTGGGAGGTTGGCCTGGAACGCCTTAAATAAGCCTGACTCCTGAAATCGTGAGCTTCCAGTAGCTTGAAATTCTCATAATTTTAGCTAGCAGTTGAAACTGCACTCAGGCTGGGTAGAGCAGAAAGTACTGTCCTTGGTAGCTGCAGTGACCTGGGAGTGTGATACAGTTCTTGGCTCAGATCTGTGTGGTGTCTTATATGGGCTGTAGAGACTGAAATAGTTTCTCTTTAGGGTTTTTCTTTTCTGGGGGAGGGAAAGGCTTGGAGCCCTGTGATGATATGATGATCATGTGAGGGAGAGCTTGTGAATATGGGAACGCATGGGAAAAACATCCCGTGTGTGGAGCTGATGCTTTGCCTTGACCTCCCCCTTTGTGTTTCCAGTGATGGAGACACAGAAGATGGAGACCAGGGTCCAATCTGGACATTCCCACCAACTATTCGTCCCAACTCCTTGGGCAAACTGCACAAAGGAATGGCTCTTCATGGTTCCCAGAAGGTCAGTTTGCCATCTGTTCCTTCAAAAGCAGACTGAACTAACACAAGTTTGAAGGTCTTGGGGATAGCTACCAGTCACTCATGTTCTATCTAAAATTGACTTTAGTCTGATATCAAGAGCTAGTGCCCCAGAGCTGCCTCTTCCACATCTGTGGGGTACTGCAAGCTGTGGCTTTCCTGAGACCTGGTTGAGGGTGCTGCAATCGAGGTGCTGTGAAATTATCAAAAGTTTGGTAGTTCATGTGCCCTGGGAGCCTTTGCCTGTGCTTGTAACTCCTTCGCGTGTTACTTTCTAGCCTACTGAGCCCATCAAGAGGCAACCACGGTCACAGTGTCTCTCCACGCTTGTTCACCCGGTCTTTGGGGAGGTGAGTAGGACCTTCTTGCTGTCTGCAGTGGTTGGAGATGAAGAGGGACCTGGCATGGATGTGCAAATGGGAAGGATTCTGAGAAGGGACTTGGGGCAAGGTACCTACTAGGGTTGAGGGACTGTGAAGCACTTATGTCTCTGTTCAGAAGTCTGTGCAGTATGTTAGGAGAGTGAATACGTTCCTGGAGCTCCCTCTCCAAAACGCTTGTGTTCCTGCAAACATAGTGTTGCTGTGTTGTCCTCGAGTGAGGCTGGGATACAGGAACACCTGCTTCTTAGGCTTGCTAACGCATGGGCGTCACTGGACTTCCGCTGTCCCTGAGCTTGTCTGTCATTGCTTCCTGCTCTGATGGCGTCAGCAGCTCCTATCTGCTATACACAGCAGAGTCACTGAGAAAGAACCTTTTTTGCTGTAGGTGGGTTAGATCTGGAATCGGCTTTGGCAATTACGAGGCCATCTTTTTGACTTTTTTTTAGATGTCTGCTAAAGAATTAGTTACCATATGGCCTGGGGAAAGTGGACAGAGAAAACAGGTTTGGAAAATCCAGCCTGTTTTCCTGTCTTGTGTTCTGGGGTGGGGATGATGACAATCATAAGAGGCTACGGGCTTTGGTTGCTGTTTCCAGCAGGAAAGTAGGAAAGGGGGTTCTGCTTGGGAAGAAACAGCTTATGCAGACACTGCGTGTCAGGATCCTCTGTGCTGGGCTGTGCCTTAGGGTGCTGGGTCATGGAGATTCTTTCTCTGGTCCTGATGGGTTGCTCTGTTCAGGATCCAGGGGAGGCCAACCGCAGGCCTGTGCTTCAAGACAGTCTCTGGACTTAAAACTCTTCTCTCAGGTCTAGTGCCATATGCAAGGAGGATTTACTGCTACAGTGCAGACAGCAGAAGTTGTTCTGAAAAGGAGGCGTTTAATGCTCTTCAGATAGGATTGCTTTGGAAATGGAGAATTTAACTAACTGGCCTCTTCTGTGCTCCACTGGACCTGAGGTCCAGCAGTCAGTGCACGCAGGCAGGTCTCATGCGCCTAGACCTGTGAGATAAAGAAGGATAAGGGTATCACTAGTTCCTGATGCAGACAGTCCGTTCATGCTGCATGATCACTGACTTGTGGGCTTCAATCCTTTCTGGTTCGGAGCCTTCTGGGGAGAGGATGCTCAGAGCTGTGAGCCCGTTAAGTCAACGAGTGCATCTTTGGGTGGCTTCTTACCAACCTTGCATGAAGCGGTTTTGCGGGGGTGGATGGGGAGGGGCTTTCACTTCTGCTAGCTTGACTCACTTGCCCCAGATTTGCTGACCCTTCTTTCCTTTCATTAGAGTTCCCTGCTGGCTCTGCTGACCCCGCTTGCTCGGTCAGGTGCAGAGGAGGTTCTGGGCAGTTACTGAAATAACCTGCACTTCCGAGCAGAGTAGCAGGGGTCTGGAAGAACATTTTTCTCCACATCCTGCAGGAAATCTACCTCGCTGCTTGTTGCGTGTGTTGTTCTTTCCAGTTCCAGAGCTTCCTATCGGCAGCGGGCTTTCTCCTTCTCCCTGTTGTGTTAGTGGCTCTTGAACGTGCTAAGTTTTGATCACCACTTTCCGTGACCGGGCTGGAGCTGGGCTTCGTGAATTGAGGTCTTTGTGAGCTGCTGCTTACAGTCTTTTATATGCCTTCCCTGCATGTGTATTATTGGATGTTAATATTGAAAATGACCCATGCTGGAGTACAGGTGTGGGCAATTACTCAGCTAGGGAAGAAGGGAGAGGCTCTGGTTAAGGTATTTGGACCTGTAGGACTAAGCAGTGAATAAAAGCCGAGCCTTAAGGCTTTGTACGGTATCCGGTGAATCCTGCTAACCTCCAGAAAGCTCTTCCACAGTGGAAAGCAGCAGGATGACACCAACTACTCTCCCCATGGGCTATTGGGCAAACTACAGGTTGGTGGCTTGGTGTTAAAGGATGGCGATAAACCAGCGGCTTACCTATAGGACGGACCCCATGTCTCATTTTGGCAGTCTGTGATCAGGTAGATGTCAAAGCAAATCCTTGGCTTTGATGTCACAGCTATTTTTGGCCTGAGCAGTCCGTGTCCTTGGTGTGTAATTGAGTTGCCCTTCATCCCCCCCGCCACTTCCGAACGAACAGAGAAGTGTGCGAGCTGCTTACGCAGCTGAGGCTTTGCGCTAGCGAGCGATAACGCTGTTGAAGAGGCAGCAGCGCGGGGACGGTTCCAGCTGGGGATCAGCATTCGCATTGTCCCGCGTTCTGCCGCGGCAGAGAAGGCAAATTCAAACAACACGAAGTCTGATCCTAGAACTGCAGACAAAGACCTGCGAGGCTTGTGCAAAGCCCCTTAATCGGTCTAGCCTAATGGGAGCTTAATTGAACTGGACAGCGGTTAGCTGGCAGAGATTGCTTGATCAACGGAAGGCTTTGCTTCCCGTGCAGCTCACTGCCTAATGGTGCACACTAAGGAAGGAGCTGCAGCCTTGAGCCGCTTGAGTGAAGGAGGTGGAGAAACGTAGACTCACGGTTGCGGAGTCAGAACACGCTAACGAGGAACAATGCAAAGACACTTTTCATCTAGGTTTGATGCTGGGCTCAGGAGTCTTGGTTGGCTTCGTTCCCCTTTTGCACCTGGGGAAAGCGCGCTCTCAAGGATGACGCTGTGTTGGAAGCCAAGTGGCAGAGGGTCGGTAGTGTGGCAGCACTCTCCCTCTGCCTTCAAGCAACTCATACTTTTTTCTTTTTGTGGCAGTTGAAAGTGGTGGCGACCAAATCCTGGTAGTAAGATATTTTTCTGCCCTACCTGTCTGGAAACCTTTGTGTGTGTGGAAGGGTGCTAAGCTATTCTTAGCAACAGAGATGACCATACTGGCTCAGATACAGCTGGAGTAGAGCTCTTTGTTCTGTTGCTATTTCCCATTTTTCAGGGCTGTTGATCCATTATTATCCTTCAGGTTGTTCGAGAGTATTGTCAGAGCCTCTCTGTTAAGGTCTCTAATTGCTAACTAGTACCTGGAGAAAGCCTGAAATCCAGACACTGGATTTCAATCTTCCCAACCTACAAAAAGAGCCCTGATTTTTATGTTTTAAGAGGAGCGTGGTTGCCCTCCTGCGTTCTGTGGTATCCTGATAAAAGAGAAAGGGACTTGGTCTCTGTGCCGCGCCGCACGACTGGCGCTTTCTGCAGCGAGATGAGGAGCTAATGCAGTGTTTCTGGGTTGCAGCTTAAAGACAAGCACAAGCAGACTGGAGGCAACGTGGGAGCTATGGAGGAGCTGGAAAACGCCTTCAGCTTGGCTGAGGAGTCCTGCCCAGGCATCTCTGACAAACTGATAGCACACATGGTGGAGCGGGTACAAAGGTGAGCGTCCCCTGCCTGGTGAGCTGGGGTGGAGCTGGCAGTGAACAGAACCGTTGCCATACTGCGTAGCTATGTTAAAGGTTGGTACTGAGCAATCAAGACGCCCAAAATGTGAATACTGATGACAGCTGATCTAATAGTCCTTACGTCACTTCTTTTAACTGCTTTTCATCTAGCAGAAGCAATTCTTCCTGCTCTCGGAAGCCCTTTCTTCCACTAAACAGGTTTCTATAGTGTAAGTGAATGTTACAGAGCACAGAAAGATGCTGCTACCTACCTTCATCTGACGTAGGACATCCTGGTTGTCCCACTACCCAGGTAGTGGGCGCTATGCAAAATGTCACTGGGATCACTTCTGGACTAGAGAGTATCTGTTTCATTGCAAGGAACGCGCTTTAAAGCACTGCTTGCAACCGGTTGCTTTGCTTACCCAGGGATCAGGCAGCAGGTACTTAATAATAAATCAGTGGAGGAGCATAGTCCAGTATAACAAAGTTCTCTACTGCTTAACAGGTACTACATCAAACTTAGCTCTGCTACTGGCACCACGTTCAGTGAAGTCTGTGTAGCGCAGACAGCAATGTCAGATCCTGCTCACAGGTTTATCAGACTTTATTTAACACTAATTCAGCTTTGTCCCCATTGCAGCTCTTAGCAGGCCATCCTGAATCTTCCCCTTTCCTCCCCAGTCAAGAAACGTTAGTTCCAGCCTCCTGACCAGCGAGGGGCCAAATGTTAAGTGTTCTGCGGTTTATGTGACCAAAGGAGCCATTCTGTCCTCCAGTTGCTAATGTAAATGCAGCTCAATCTTTCTTTACACCATCGAACCAGGGCTTTCTAAGCATCTATTTTGGATGGCTGAAAGCTGGCACAGTTTGTGTCTTGTAGCTAAAGTGGCAATCTGATGCTGTCGAGCAAAAAGAAACCTTAGAGGTGAAGGTCAAAAAATACTGGTCATCCTTAATGACTTAGTAAGAGAAGGCCTCAAAGCTTTCAAGCAAATATGCTATGGGTCTCTTTAGAGCTCTGAGCTAATAATCACTTAAAGCAGGAAAGAGAACATTCCTGTCTGTTCTGGCTGAACCGACAGATACCGCAGAACTTGTGCTAGCGACTCCTGCAAAGGTTTTGACCTCTGGCTGAGTGAGAGATACTTGCACGGATGCCCTTTGGGTGGCTGCAGCACAGCTGTTCAAATGAGTCTCATTCCCTTCTAGCAGCCTAGAAGGGGCAGTACTGGACAACGCACGAGAGACTGACACCGTTCTTTGGAGGCTGGCAAAACCTCAGTGAGCCTCCTTTGTTTCTTGCTGTAGACCACTAGTGCTCAAAACTTGTCAGCCTATCCTAAACTTGAATTGCAAAGGCATGGAGAAAGACATGCCTTCTTGACTGGTTTTCCTTTCAGAGACTTTACATAGAAACCTGAGCGTGGCAGTGGGAGTAGGAGACAATGCATCCAGACTTGCTTCTTCATCAGCAAACATGCTGGTTGGCACAGTGCATGTGGGCAGTCTGTCAGGGTGAGGACTAAAAAGCGACCAATTCCACCCATTCTTCTTTCTTGCAGGTTTTCACACAGTCGGAACCACCTGACTTCTGCCCGCTGACACATACGTTCCCTGCTGCTGTTTTGAGGAGGGAGAAGGATTTTTGTTCCGGCTTCATAAGAACTACATAAGAACCCAGACCACCATCTGCTGTTGGATGTAACATTGTGTTACGGACTCCAGGACATTTCAGAGCCTTCATATACACGTGTTTCCATGATAACCCAGGGTGGGGTTTGCAATGCAAGTACAATTTAGACCTTTTGCAGAGCCCAAGATGGGCGGTCTAATTGTTTTTACAATGTACTCAATGCAGTTTTTAATTGTTTCCCTATGGATGTATCCATTCTGGCTTGGTTTGATTCACAGCTTATTATAGGTAAATGCCTGGCTGCTGGACAAGAGGGAGTCTCTTCTATTCAGATACGTTTCAAAGGCAAGTCTGATGGGTTTAGCCTTCTGCCCTTCCCAAAGAAGTATTTGTGAGCAGTAATGTGCAAGTGAGGTATGTTTGCAAGCTCTCCACGCACTACAGCCTCTGGGAAAGTTAGAGCAGCGCTCTATTTGTTCGGGAGGATCGGTTCAACTCCTTCACACACTAGCAAAGAAAAGTTTTCAACTCTAGCAGCAGTTAAGATAAAATGCGTAGTTTGCTGCTGGTCTCTCCTAGCTTGTCATTTCACAGGAGGATGGGTTTGCTGACTGTGCTTCCTTTTTGGCTTTGGGACATCATTTTGGATTAGGCCTTGGTTCATCTCATTCAGGCTACAGCAACGCTTGCCTTGGGTCAAGGCACAGTGGTCGTGTTTTGGGTTGAAAGGGCTGGGGAGCAGATAGGGTTCCTTTCCTTGTTGCTTACTGCAGCTGGAGTGACCAGATATGTGGCTTTTGGCAGCCCTAGGCGCTAAGCTGAGTAGACAGCCCACTGTGTTTGCCCAAATGTTGCAGGAGGGTTTTAAAAAAGGGGGGGCTGGGGAATAAGGCAACCAAAGGCACTAACAAGGCTTCAGTTCTTCAAAAGGCAAGTCTACGTTTCGTAGCGGTTTTTGAGGCAAAAAAAGCCCTGTCCTCTACAGGAAGATAAATCAGATGGCGAACAGCAATGGTGTCCGTGTGTTGTGGTTTGGGATGCAAAACCACACTGCCCCCCGCCCCTGTCCCCTTCCTCTCGGCGTCCCCTTACTGGCTCTTCTCTCAGTTTGGGAGCTAAATTCACTGAAGCCAGGGCTTTGCTCCAGTTGACAAGGTGCGTTGCTGCTTGCTAGCAGAGAGATTAAAGCATCTTCTGATGTGTTGCCTGCTTACGGTATTCCAGTGGAGCCATCCCAACTAGCTTTGCTTTCTGTAGAGTACTAGTTTACCAAGCAAATCTTTAATTCAGGTTAATGTACAGATCTTAAAGCTATACGTTAAAGGTCTAGAAAAACAGATGTAGGATCATAACTTCTGACAGTGAGTTGCTTAGAGACCTCTCTAACTGTAACGCTATTAGCATTAAGTCAGCAAGATTTTAGACACCCCCGAACCGTCTGTCTGGGTGTTTGTGAATGATGCGGCTCACTCGAAAGCCGCTGAGAACAAAAGCTGTAGCTGTTCAGCATTTTTTTTTTTTTTAAAAGATAGGCCACTTTGTTAGAGAACAAGGTTTGGGTGTGTTTTGTTTTGTTTTGATTTTTTTTTGGTACTTGGAGTCAGACCTGCAGGTTGTAAGCGTTGGGCTCAAAGGGGGCAGATGTTCCCCGTCCCAGCGTACTACGTTCACTTTAGCTTACGGCTACCCTTTACCCTTCCTCTGCGATGTATAACTACAGGCTCAGCAAACACTATGAACTTGTCTGGTAGCGAGTAGGTGCTGCTCTTTCATCTGGCTGGAGATCAGTTGTGGCGTGGTGTTTCTCAGGGTAGCGTGAGCGCTATCGGAGCCTGTATTCATGCAAAAAAAAAAAAAAAAAAACAGAACCACCCTGTTGTTTTTTTCCCCCAGGAGAAGGAGTTGGTGTAGAGCTAGGACGCTTACTGAGGTGGAAGGCAGAGGCTGCAGTCTAGCAGAAAGGCAGCGGAAAGGCTCCTGCTGCTTTTAAAGTTGTTGTTCATGACGGTAGCAAATTGTGTCAATAAGGTACCTTGTATTATTCACATGCACTGCAGTGTAGTGAGTAAAGTTTTTAAAGGAAACAATCCCCACGACCTTCCTTCAGTATTCAACGCAACAATGGTTTTAGTTTTTAAAAACATTGAAAGGGATCTGCCACTTTCAATAAAGTAACAAATCAAGTGACGTGTGTGTAACTTGTTATTACTAGGGAAATAACACTTGCTCAAGCTGCGGTTTCGTTGCGTTCAGCTTGGTCTTCCACCGCATCTCCCTGCCGTATGCGCCAGGCAGCGCCCGTGGAGGGGGTTAAAACTACGCGTCTCCGAAGAGCGAGCAGCGAGAGACTCGTTTAAATATTAGCCAAAGGCAGCTACGGGGTGTGAAGGTACTTCCCTGACTTCTGAAGCAGCTGTGTGATATCATTCGGTTTGTACAATGTCTGGCAGCTCTAAAAAGCGTTGGTCCGCTAAAGCTGCAGGCAGCGAGGTGTTGTCTCCTGGAAAAAACAGCGCTGCGCTATGTGGGCTGCTGCTGAGGCCTACCCCAGACCGGAAGGAGAGGCGGCGGAGCGCAGGTGAGTCCGCCGCCTGCCAGGAGCGTGAGACTCGGAGCTGCGGTTTCCTTTTTGTGCAGGAGGGAACACAGCGAGAGGTGTGGTACGTTCAGCATAAAGGATTAAATGCGCTGGTGTTAAGCTAGGCTTGCGTTGTTTGCCAAGGTGCAGTTATGCTTCGCAGTGTGGGTTTTGCTGGATTCCTGCTTAAAGATCTGCAGCATTTAGACTTCAGTTCCAACTTCACAGCCAACAGCAGCCACCTCTGCCTTCATCTCGATTACAGCAGCGTCAGCTAGGAGATTCCATTTTAAGTGAGTGCTTAAAAAAAAATCTCGTGCGTGATGTGTTTCTGCCTGGGCAAGGACAAAAAAGGATTACAGTAAGGTCTCTGAGCAAGCTGTGCAGCAGCCTGTCAGCTGCTTTTCCTTGGAGACCAAAAAAAAAAAAAAAAAAAAGGTGAGGGGCAGAGACTGACAAAGGTACTTTTGGATGTACTGTTTTGGCATTTCTTTTAAAGGCCATGTGCTTGCACTCACCTTTGCCCGACGTACTGTTGGCAGAATAGTGGCCATAGCACATCTTTTCCTCATCTGGAGCTACAATGGAGAAGATTAATGCAGCACCTCGAGGACAAGCCAGATGCCCAGTCCCGAAGGTGAGCGTGCAGCGCGCATGGGTGCAGCTTGTGTAGGTGGCTGAAGGTCCGCCAGCACTTAATTAATCTAACGCTCCCGCAACTGTCAGACTTGCGGTGGAGTTAGTGCTGCTGCATGTAAGCAGTGGCACGCTTGCACCTGAGAGGCAGGAGTACAACAGAGGCACCAAACACCTTTTTAAAGTGCACGTTGCTGACACTGGAACAGAGGTAAAGCTGAGCGGATGGGGCCAGTATGAAAGAAAGAGGGATGTGAATTATTGAGTGTCATGGAAGCCACAAACACGCTTGTAACTGGGGGCCAGAAAGGGAGCTACTCCAAATGCAGCATTCACCACAGCAGCTCCGGTTTTGTTACCTGCTCGGTAGAAACTCAGATGCAAAAACGTACTTGTTCTGGATCCTTAAGCAGTGAAGTGCTCTGGTGTGCTGAGTGGAAGATAAGCTGGCTAATCTTAGGGGAAGCAGGGAAAACTGCGAGTGCTGATGAGGAAGAACGGCTTTTAAAAATGAAACGAGTATGTTAAGCAAGCACGTTCTCAAGAGCACGTGGTCATCTCTCCCTTAAATAATTTGTGTTCCGCTAGCAAGAAAGCAACGATTAAGGACCACTTGTATTCTGTTCTTAACAAAAGCCCTAGGAGAGGTAACGGCTAGGGATGGTAGCAGAGGTGGAACGTAATCCTGCAAAGTTCTGCTATAGTTTAATAGGTCAAGATTTTTACTTCAACGTGGGATTTCACAGAAGAACTGATACACCACTGAACCCTTCATCAGTCTGAACGCTTGCCAGGGCGAGGGGTAAGCAGTTTGGCGAGCAGTAGTGAAGCTTCTGGCTTACAGTCTGTACTGCATCTTAAATGCACGCGCGTTCGTGCTCTCTTTTCTCCACCTGAGACACATTTTGCTGCCTTCTGTTGTTCTTTGGTCTGCTAGCGCCAGAGGTTCCCGTTTCAGGCACCAGACCTCAAGCCAGCGTAGCTTCAAGATAGGAAATACGAAGGTGAAGGTTAAGTGCTTAAGCTGCTCTAACTACAGGATCATCCACTACTCAGCTCCCTAAAAAAATAAGGGAAGACTCTGTTCACTGCCCCTCTCCTGTAACAGGAGTTGTAACAGTGCTACACTGCTAGACAGAGGTTTGATGGGAGGATAAATACAGTGTCGGTGTTCAAATAGTCTGTGGATCAGCCATGTAAATATTTAAGTCAAGTATTACCACCTTCCACTATCTTCATCACTCTTCCAGCCATTTCTTTTGTTTCCGTGTGTTATATGCCAACGCTGTTGTTCACCGTTACATGAGATGGAAAACCAGGCAGGGGTGAAGACTCAGGCCATTGTAGCCCTGCAAAGGACTAGGCAAAAGAAATGCCTCCCACCCTGCTTGCTGCGGGTGAGGCTGGCTCCTTATAGTTACTTCAGCCTCCAGGAGCACTGGGTACTTGTCACAGTTTGCTGCGGGCGACTGACGGCTGATTTACAGACGCCATTCAGATGAAGTCTGGCTGATCTCCAGAGTATAAATTCCTGCCAACTAGCTAAGAGGAAATATTGGGCACCACTACAGGTTATTTCACTCCAGACAGAAAACACTTTGCACTCTCTGGTGCACCGTGCTCTCAGAAGCACACATTTCTCCAACTTTTCTATCCCTGTCTCTGCTAGCAGTTAGCCAGTTCCAGTTTCCACAGCATACATGCTAGTCTAAGATATTTCCTTTTGACACGCACCACTTGCTTTTCAGGACTGTGCCTCTTTCTACCAGGCCTGCTACCCAGCTACTTAGGTCCCCGTGTAGACTGTGGTGGGGGAGGGTTGGAGGACTTGGCCTTTAGCTTTGCTGAATTTCAGGATGTTCTGTCAGTCAGTGCCTTCAGCCTAGCAGCCCTGCCCTTGAACCGCTTCCCCACCCGGTTTTGCGTCACTCACAATTTAATGAAGGTGCAGTCCGTCTCCTCTTCCACATCATTCTGGCTTGGTCATGTCTGTCTGCTGCAGGTGGATCATATCTGATGCTAGGTGAGATTAGAACAATTACCTTGGAAAACTACTTTCGTTGGATAACTTGAGCACTATAAAAACATTTTACAGTAGGTGGGCTTTCTAGAGCCAGGATTTAAGTCAATGCAGCCAACGGCTGGGGTTAAGGAGATGGCAGAGACTTGGTCAAAGACCACCAGTTGCTGACAGAGATGCTGCTCTTCCACTCTGGAACTGGCTACTGCAGAGCTTCCTTGCAGGAGAGCAGCAAGAGCTGCAATTGCATGGAGAGCTCTCATTAAAGAGGAAAACACTCCTGTGAAAAGACTTTGGGATGTTACCATGACAAAGGAGCAGTCAGTACCATTGGGGCAAACAGCTGGAGCGTGAAACTTTCTCTCTCAGTTCTGAGAAAATGCAATGCTGCTGTGAAGATACCATCCCTCTCCCCGCGAACAAGCCTATTGACAGGGATGATGTGCCCAGGAATAAGAGGCTGAGATTGTTTTATACCAAGAAGCTATTTACTTTCAACAGTCATATTCAGCTAGGTTATAACATACCTAGTCCATTCACGTTCACACACCTACAACAGTTCAGTTAAAAAAAAAAAATGAAGACACTAATAAATTAAATACATTTAACTTGCACTGGACAACGGTCATTGACAGTGGCAGCGAAGACTGGTTCTGCAGTCACTCTTCTTCTCTGTGATGCAAATGCCAGGTGAATGGTCTGGAAATCTCTCGGGAGTCCTCTACCTGCAATCCTCATCCTTTCTCATTCAGCATTTATTTTAGACCGTAGCCTAAAACAGCCTAGGAGACTGCACATGCTGGCCTCTCTACTTTCCATTTTCCACAAGGATCTCGGC